CTTGGTAAGTTACCGAGTTCCTTAAGGAATTATTATGTACAATAATTTTGGCTCTTGATAGTTGGAAGAAAAAAAGACCAGTGGCAAAAAGAAAACTTAAAGCTCAAAGATACAGAAAAATGATTGTTCGCAGTTCTTTTTCTATGAAAAGGGGGAGAACTAAAGTCATCTTTAGAGTTTTAATTTTTTGGTTAACAACATTAAACATTTACACCAGCTAAAGGGGAAGATGTATATAAATGATGAACTTTTTTAGAAAAAAGTCTATTACTTTAAATGCTCTAAATTCTAGGATTGTGTTAACCATACATTGTTTAGTGGAGAAACTACTTCAATAAAGAAGATCAGTTTAGAATGAGCATTTCAAATGTGAAATTTTAGTCATGCCAGCTTCTACTTATGCTGAAATTACTCATATCTAATAAATTGCTTTTTTATTATGTGCAAACAGTGTTTTCCTTGAGTAGGCAGCAATTCCAGTAACAATGTTATTCATCCTATTTATTTGCTTATTAAAAATAAGCATAAAATTTAACATTTTCAAGGCTGAAATCATAAGCTTCAAATTAGTGTAAATTAATAAGATTTTACTGTACCAATTTCTAAACGGGTAGTATTAAATTTTAGGAAAAGCTATTGCAATTAAAATGAAAAAAGCAATAAGATAATTTGGAGAATGCCAAATTAAAGGTCTAGTTCCATCCCAGATCTCAATCTGATTAAAATGTTTCTATATCTATAGCAGCATCTAAATGAAGATAATCCAATTTTAAGCATGATGAAATTTGTCAGATTTTTGGTTTTTGTGCAAAACTGGAATCAGAATCATGATGTTCAGACCTTCAATGAACCTTATTCTTCACCGATTCTAAATTTACATTAAAAAGTGAACATGGATATAATCAATTGTTATTAATTATAGCACCCATGTGGGTACTGCAGATCTGTTTTTCTTTTCCTCTAATACCTGAAGTTTTGTATCCTTTAACTAATACCACTCCAACGCTCAACCTCTTAGTCCCTGGTAACCACCATTCCTTTCTGATTTTATAATGCAAACATTGTTAGTTTCCTCATGTAAGTGAGTCTTTGTCTTTCTGGACCTGACTTACTTTACTTAAAATATTGCCCTCCAGGTTCATCCATGTTGTTACAAATGACAAGATTTCCTTCATTAAGGCTTTTCAGCCTTTGTACTATATGTTCTTTATGCAGTTAGCTACTGATGGACAACATGTTGGTTACATGTCTTGGCTACTTCATTTCCTCTAGATATATACCCAGTAGTGGGATTGCTGGGTCATATGTTGGCTCTATTTTTAATTTTGGAAGGAACTTCCATTCTGTTTTCCAAAATGGCTACACCAACATAAACTCCTCCCGACATGGTGCAAGGGTCTCCTTTCCTCTCTCTACATTCTTGCCAGGACGTGCTACCTCTTCTTAATACTTGCCATTCTGTCAGGTACAAGATGATACCCAATGTGATTTTAATTTCCTAAAAGTTGCAAGAAAGTAGATTTTAATTATTCTCACAATAATTATATCAGATGATGCATATACATTAGCTCAAATTAGCCACTCCACATGATACATAGTCCAAACATCATGTAATATGCTATAAATATATACCATTTTGTCAGTGAATTTTAAAATAGAAGAGCCCATGGAATGCAGCCAACTCTTGGGTCTTCCTTGTTAGTGGATATTTCCTGAAGTCTTTCTCTTCAGCTTTTTGCTCAAGGGCGAAATATTTCTGGAATGGCAACTAAAGCCACATAATCACAAGCTGAAGTCCAGGTCTCACATAGTATGATGTTTTATTTCACAAATCTCACAAAGTTTTCAAATGATCCCATCTTGCTGTACCATACATGCTTACAGAAATGAAAAAAAAAATTTATTAAGAAAATAGTTGTTAAAAGAAGCTATATGAAAGTATTGATAATTATTGGTTAATTTACTGTACAGGCATTGAATATATGTTTTCTACTTCAGTAATTCCATTTTCAGATCATATGAGTGACATCTTACAGTCACTTCTAAGCTGAGCTACTGAAAACTTAGTGGAAACACGAGAATATTTTTGAGTAAGAACCATCAATTTCCAAAGCAAAATCTGTTCAGTAATGATGAATGCCCAATTGGGAATACATAAGTAAAACCCAAAAGCAATACTTTTCTCCAATCTCTTTATGAATGTCAACTTGGCTCAAGTGTACAAAATCTTGTCTTAGATTCATTTTCAACAAACACAATTTATTTGCAAATGTCCAAAAAAGGCTTAAATTTTTCCTGCTCAGGAAATTTGCTTATGCCCTTTTCCTTATTTTTCCTCCTATGTCTGAATTTCTGCATCACACATATTCAAGCTGAACAATGGATCCTATAAAACTATTCTAAGAGGCAAATCTTGGCATGTCACAGAAAAGTTTCTTGAAGAGCGATCAGAATTGAGCAGTTATCTCTGACAATCATGGAAATCTTCACTGCTCCATCTTCCTTCTAAATTAGTTTAGGGTTACATCTAGGGGATGGACAGAGTACATTTTTGAATACTTAAGAAACAGTAATCTACAGAGAATCAAGTCATCACTCTGTCTCCTCTGCCTAAGAAATTACATAAGAGAAATTTAAGGTAATCTGCAGTGTTTCTCAGTCTTATCACATTTGGCACCAATGACAAATTAACCAAATGTGATCTCAGATTCAGAGCACAGTTGCTCTTCCCTCACAAAATCCAAGAAAGTCTGGAATGTGTCATATTAACTGCAAACAATTAAAGCAGAAAAGGAAGGAAGCCAGAAAGAGGGAAAGAGGAAGAATGGGTGGAACAGGCAAAGAAGTGAGAAAAGGCAGAAAAGAAGGCAGATGGAAAAAAAATGTTTTCTAAAATATAAATTTGGGAAAAACTCACCTAAAGTCATATGCTTCAGATGGTCTAAAAAATAAGAATGCTCTCCCTCAACTTTTTCTTTTTTCCGTGACCATTATAATTGTATGACAAATGTGCTGTGATCTGCTAAATGCAGGTGTCTTTGTTTCAATTGTGTGGCTTATATCTAACAATTGCTTTCCTATTTATAAGTGGCCACAGTTCTTTTTGTATTAGGTAAGGGCAGATTCTTCATTTAGTAAAAACCTATTTGCTCACCCTCAAAGAAACTGTGCAAGGAATCAACAAGATACTTTCTGATATTCCAAGGTTCTGCCTTAGAATTTGTGAATCGAAGACACACAGTGACATTTCCTTCTGTCTGTGCGTCCCTCCATCCGTCCTCCCAACTAGCTAACATTAATGTCATGATGAGTCTCTCCCTGGTGCCTAGACCACTGCCATAAAAGCTGGTGGTGAAATACAGACCAAAAGACATATTCTCCATCTTAATAACATCACTGGAGAGATTTAAACAGACATTTACATAATTACATAAATAAATATGTGGTTGAAAACTGAAATGAACGACATGAAGGGAAACTATGGGATGCAACAGGCATTTAGAACTCCAACGTGTACAGAGAAACAAAAATGAAAGAGGCATCTTTCCACAGCCAGGAAAATACCCAAACAAGACAATGTATTACTTATTTCTTATTTGTGCTCAAATAAAACTTCTTAGGCTTTGGCTTAAAAATGAAAAAAAAAAAAAAAAACTCTTGCCACTCTAAAAAGTACTTCAAAAATGAGCAGTAGAAAATGTTTATTCATAAGAGTTTAATACGCTAATTTAAAATAAGTTAGAAGGTCTCAGGAGGAATGGAAATGAAAAGTCTGAAGGAGATGGACTTTGTCTTAACAGAAGCACAGCCTTGTACCAAGCACAGGAGGGATCCATCCTCAACAAACGCATCCTGGCTGTGTTACCTGGCCGAGTGGCGAGCCTTTCTCTCTCAGTGGGTTGCTCTTCTCTAGTCCCTGCACATCCCCCTACAGGGCTCTTTTGAGGAGCACAGGAGTTAATGGACATCAGAGTGCTTTGCACCCACTAGCAAAGCAAGTAGAGAACAAGAAAGGGAGAATTCAAAGCTTTAATAACAATGGAAAGTTGGGTCATCCCTCTGAGAGGAATTATAATTGGCTGCCACAAAAAGACTTCTTCTGCTAGGTGAAAGATACCATTGTGTATTTATCTTTCCATTGCTTACCGATCATGCCAATATTATTCTAGACAATTATGCAGAATGTCATACTTAATCCTGAAAAAGACTAGCAAAAGCTTTTCACAATAAATAATCATGTATACACTCGGGATTCAACTAATTTTTACTCAGAGTGGAAAAAGTCATTGTTTTGAAACACATGCTGGCTGGTTTGTTTTGTGTTGTTGTTGTTTTTTGTTTTTTTTTTTTTTCATTTCTTTTTAAGTGTATATTCAAGGACAATAGAGTAAAATAAAACTTGGAGAAGTCTGACTTGAGAGAAATGCCATTTCAGCCAGGGGAGTTAGGCAGTAATTCTCACTTGAGTTCAGGTCTTTACCAGGCACTAGTATTTTCACTTTAAAAGCCATTATATTTGCTACTGATTCCATGAAGGGCATTTCTGAAAACAGAAAAGCACCATGGCCACCTGCCTTGCTTGATTCATGCAGTTATTCTGAGAAATCATGGCCTGAACGCATCTCCTCAGAAGGAATCACTTACAGCTCAACTTCAAGGATTTAAGGCAGGTTCACACCAAAGATGCACGGGAGATTTTACATTAGCATTCATCTGCGAAATGTTTGGGAGGAGACCCCTCTGGAATGAAGTCCAGCTCACGAAATAGCACTTTTCATCGCTGACATGTTACCATCTCAGATAAGACCGGCAATCAAAGAGAAACTGAATACTTGGAAATAAACAAGCCATTTTAAATACAATCAAGGAATGGGTCAGGGATGACTAAGGGTACAAAATATTTTAAGTAGAACTATTCAATTTGCTCAATTTGATCTACGCGGCACACTTTGTTTCCACTGCTTGAAAAAGGTGCACATAAAGTATGAAATGCCTAAAAGTAACACAAACGTATTTTATTAAAGAGTGAATGCATGTTTGCTAAGGAATACTTTACATACGTCAGAAAGCGCCAAGCATTTCCTCAGGAGACGAGTTCTCCTCAGTATGACTCCATGCTTATTGGTCATGCCTGAAAGAAAGCCAGACCCACACACGGGCACGCACCTACACACAGAGACAAGGATACAGACACATGGCTACACAGACCAAACGCTGAGTCCCCCACTCTCGGGATTAGATTAGCTCTCGTTTAAGGCTTCTAAGGTGCCCCCCAGCGCCCCTAACATTACAAGGAATAAAAACACACTTCCATCAAGGAGCAATCCTACAGGGGAAAGCGAGGATCAGTTCTCAGCCTTAAATGCACGTATTTTCATATATGCTTTCAAAGTCATATGGCAATTCTTCACGATATTTAAAGATCCATGAAACTGAGAAGTCTGTACTTTCTTGGCGAGACTTTCTCATGATACATAATAAACAAATGGGCAACGAGAATTCTCGGGCACGGGGAACTCTACGGTAACAAGGCAAGATGTCCCTTTAGGTTGAGATGGACGTGGATTTTGTAGACAGCCCAAGTTTATCTAACTCGCTCCCTGCCTGAGTGCAAGATGAAGTGATGGGGGCCAGGCTTCCCTGGTGGTCCCAAATCAGACTGGAAGTTTGCCGTGAAGGACGCATCCAACAGGACATTAGCCAAGTTAGTTACCAAGACACAGGGTTAAGGAAAGGACAGCCCCAAAAGAGCAGGGTTCACTTGCTGCTAGCTCACTGCTTTTCTCTGGGGTTCCTGCTGTTTTTCTAAATGCCTGGTTGGTTTGCTTGTTATTTATTTCATTTGCTTCCTTGTTTTCTTCCCTTTTGATGTCCTGCAGTGCAGGTTATGAGAGAATCCCCTCCCTCTCACAGGGATGCTGGCATGAGAAAGAGGGCGGGCAGTGCAGGAGGAAGGAAGGGATTATTAGTAGTTGCAAGTATTCTAAGAAAATAGATGACGTGAATACAATAAGAGGGTACTACTTGATATATTCGTGTAAATAAAGCATTATCTTTAACTGCAAACTAACTGCCAACTATCAGGTTGTTAGCTGTAAAGCTGGACGAAGGCTGTGCTGATCTGCATACTGAGGAGAGTCTGAACGCGGCATGGGAGGGGCTCAGTCATCCTGAGCTTTCCCTCCCTCCACCTGTGGCTTTGCAGCAGCATTAGCCCCCTCCACCGCCCACCCTTAACGGAACCCAGAGTGCCTCGAAACATTCTTGTTGGATTTCATAAGGCAGATTGGAATGGTCCGTCACTCACAGCCACAGAATATTTGCCTGAGAGTGGTGAGAATGGGAAGAGAAAGCTCCCGCCAGGAGGTGTTGGAAGATGAGGAAAAAATAAGAAGTCTAGACCCTTCCTCCCCATCCATGCTCCCACCCTCCTCAAAGTCCCAGCAGCAGCAGCAGCAGCAGATTTCAATGTCACGGGATTACTTTAATGATACATTTCTTTAGATTTAGAATTGCTCCTCTGCACTTAAAAAGCATGGTCAGCCAATGGTTTGGCAGTCTTTTCCTCCCAAATTTGAATGGTTGCATCTCTCCTGTTGAGCTCCTTGACCAATGCTGCCTTCGCCAGAGCATCGTGAGTTCGTTCAGCCGTCGTCAGACTCCAGTTCCTGGGAAACCTCTTCGGAGGAGCTGTTCCTGTGGATCCGCCCGTCGCTCTTCATACTGTGGAAAGTCTTCCTGAAGGCCTCCATCATGGCGTGGGCCAGCTTCTTGGCCTCTAGCTTGCTCTCGCACTCCACAGCGTGGCAGTCCATCTGGTAGGACAGGTCATCATTGATCTCCCTGTAAACCCAGGCGAAGATGTTGGGGCTCACGTTGTGGTCAGCGGTGCAGTAGGCGATGCGGGCCACCTGGAAGGTATCCATGTGCACCGTGGCCTCGCCTTTGTGGTCGAGGTGATGCAGCCACACTTGGAAAGGGCGGATCTCCAGAAGGGCATTGGCTGGGAAGACGTCTTCTCGGGTGAGCGTGTGCTTCTTCCAGAGCTCAATCACTGGCTTCTCCGTGCAGCCTGATAAGAACTGCATGCCTGTGGTAGAGACTTTCCCCAGGTAGGTGACCTGCAGGGGAAGAGAGGAAGCAAAGGAACAGGTGAACGGGAAGCTCTTCACTCAAGCAGAGCAGCTGAGTCGCAACATCCCACAGGAGGGGCGCACAGGCTGTTCTCTTGTCCCTGGGAAGACGAATGACAATCAGAATTTTTACCTTTTCTCTCTAACAAGCTGTCCGCTTGGCAAATGTATTGAAACTCTTTAAACACATTTGGATTTTTGAAATGTAATTTCTAGAGAATTGCACTCCCTCCCCTCCTTTTAAATTAAAAAGGACTGATTATGATCTTTTATGTAATTTGACTTTTCTTTAAAATCACAAAGTCACTCAAAGTTCATTTTCAACTACACACACACACACACACACACACAGAGAGAATTTAATGATAAGAAGGAATCAAAAGGATGCTGCATCTGGAAAACAAAACCTTTATTAAACTTATCCCCTAGCTTGCTTCTCTTTACAAATCTTTCAATGTTGGATTTCAGTTAGGCCTCTCACTTCTAGCAAATGCCAAGGATGCAAAATTGTTCTATTTAAATTATAGCCCAAAGCATGATTGTTTTTTCTTGCAAGATAATTTTTTAAAATGCAGCTATGCTTAGTTATTTTTCAACCTAAACAGATTTGAACTGATGGGCATCTGGCTCTGCGGTAATAAATGAAAGATCCTCAGATAAGACTAGAACACTGGCTTATCAAATAGCTACACAGGCAGCACTAAAACTAAGAAAAACAACTCTGAATGATTCACATCCTGTCTTCTTGAAAACTTGTTTATGGTGAACCAAGTAAAGATTTTCATTCTTTCAATTTTTTCCCATGCATCAAAATGTATAGTACTGCTACCATGGGAACATGGAAATGCAGAAAATCTTAGGGATTAGTTGAGAAATAATACAAACTAGTTTATAATTAGGCTTAAAATTAGTGACATGGAAATAAATGCTAAAAATGTGAGAAGAAGCAGCCCAGAAAGAGGTGCATGGAAACGGGGATAACTGAGGAAGGTCAGAATGATTCCCATCAGCGTCTCTGTTCAGTGGGACTACACAGCCTACACACAAAACATCTAAGACACTGACGTGAGGTGCTATTGCACAACTTTGTGCCCTGGTTACCCCTCCAATAAGAGTTAGAGAGATGTTATATCTTAGGAAAGAGGTACAGGCACTGTGCGGTCTGCACATATTTAATATAAACCTACATTTACGCCTATTATACTGTTGCTGGATGAGTCACACAGAGCAGGTGAGCTAAAAGTGAACTCAACAGGAAGGAAACAATTGCTGATCCATGCAGAGAGGGTTCAGTCCTAGCTCCACTGTGCACCAGGAGGGTGGTTCTGGACCAAGCTCGACCCCTCCAATGGCAAGGAGCGAGGGCAAGGGCACAGTTCAGCACCTGGATCATGAAGCAGGGAAGGGGCAGGGCCTTGAGGACAAAGGCCTCGGGAGGTGAACCACTGGATTTTGTCAGGACTCAGAAGCTGGGGAAGAGTGCAGTAAGTCAAGGCGAGGTAGCTGCCCCAGAGAAAGTCCCAAGCTGCCTGGGGAAACTACACATCAGGCCCCCCGGAGCATCGTCAGAGAAGAGCTCTGGACACTGCTGGATGGAAGCGAGAGAGGGAGGATGAGCAACTGCAGGCACGGGTGAGGCTGCACACAGCCTGAGCAGGTGGGACTCCCCTGGCCAGATGCACAGCCACCAAAGCTCACAGCAAGGAGGGCCTGGATGTGTGGGGTGTGAGCACAGAAGACCTCCTGATGCCAGGGAGAAAGGGAGGCTGACTCAAGGCAGAAGCCTAGTCAGGAGGCAAAGGTGGCAGGCAGTAAAGGTGGTAGGAAAGGACAGGAGGAGCCAGGATTGGGGCTGCAGGAGTAAAACTGACAGTGCTCAGCAAGCTTTGAAGAAGGAAAGTGACTCCGATGTTGGAAGTACCCATGCTCCCAAGGAGGCGACCAGGCAAATACAATATTGTCACTCTGCATCAGAGTTAGAAAATATAGATGGACGTGTAACCAGGTGTGGCGGTGCATGCCCGTAAACCAGCATTCTGGGAAGCTGAGTTGGGAGGATCTGTACATTTCAGCCTAATTGTGCAACTTAGCAAGACCTTGACTCAAAAAAATAAAATAAAATTTCAAAGAGTAAGGGATGTAGGTCAGTATGAAGGCCTTGGGCTCAACCCCTAGAACTGCAAGAAAAAAAAAAATGGCTTGTAAGAAAATAATATAGATTTCTTGAATAATACCTGTGTTTTATATTTAATGAATTTTCCATTTTGCGGAACTTTCTGACATCTTTATTAATTTTTTCATAGCTTTACTATTTCTTTTAATACAAGTGAAGTCCACATGACCTAAAACTGACCAGATTAAAGTGTTCTTTAGTAGTACATAGTACAGCCACAGTACTGTACAACTTTCAGCTTTATCAATTTCCAAAACAGTTTCATTACCCCAAAAGGAGACCTGATACCCATTAGGCAGTCAATACATTGCTCAACCCCCTAAGCAGCTGGCAACCTCTAATCTGCTTGCTGTCTTATGATTTAGATCATTCTTACAACTGGAATCATACACCTGACCTTTTGCCTGCTTCTTCCACTTGGCCTAAAGTCTTCATGGCTCACCCAACCTGTAGGGTGCATCAGTGCTTCGTTCTCTCCTATGACACCACAGCTTATGATAATTTCAAAGCACATGAAGTTGGAGAGAAGAATCTGTGAAGTTGGCAAAGTAGGAATCTGTCTCACACCTCACACAATACAGCGGTGCCTCCGTCTAAAGTACTTTAATTCTTCCTATAATTCTGGTCACAAATTGCAATCATCATGAACCGAATCAAATTCAGTGGTTAAATTCAAGGATGACCTTATGAGGAAATTTGATTCAGTTCACTATCAATTCAGTTTGCAACCAGAATCATGGAATTAAGAATTAAGTTTGTGAAGCAAGCCACCATTGTAATTGCTTGGCAGAATGTCTCTGATACAGTCACTTCAGAACTCAACTCTACTAATAGCTCTTCTAAAAACCCTTCCAGAGGGAGGGTTAGAATAAAGTACAGTTAATTTAGGCTCTTAGCACAGTAGTAGTCCCCTCTGTTCCACCCCCAGCATTGACAGGCAGCTGTTCACATGGCCTGGGTACAACCTGCACAGGCTACAGGAACCATGGTACGCAGGAGGGACTCTATCCTCCAAATATCTGAAACCTGTGCTGGGACTTCTGCTCTGTCACAGAGGTGCAGGCAAAGGGGGAGGGATGGCCACCTTGTCACTGTACCTCTGCCCACTGCTGCAAGCCTCTCTTCTCCAGCTGATGTGACTTTCAGGGGCGTTAAAGGCCTACGCCCCCCAACACCTCATTCTTTCATTTTCCTCTTTCCAACTTTTGGGATCCAGACATCAGAGACTAGGACATTAAAGTTTCCCTAGCACATACGGTAGAAACTTAGAAGTGACCACAGATATCCAGGGAAGGGTATAGGCTCAGAAGAGATCTGAGAAGACTAAGTTTACACCCCAGGCTAACTTTTGACATAGAGATGGCCTACAACAATGAAAGAAATCAGTACCAAAACCAGCAATGGGGAAGGCAGATAATAATTACAACATTATTAGATTTAAATGCCCAATTTTCACACACAAAAAAGAAAAAGGAATGTACAATCCATTCAGTGGTAGGGGTGGGAGGCAGTCAAAAGAAGCTATCCCTGAGAAATATCTGGTGGCATATCTACTAGACAAATACTTTAAAATAATGGTCTTAAAAATATTCAGAGTATTAAAGAACAACATGGAAAAAGTCAAGAAACTATTTATAAACAAAGTTGGAACATCACTAAAAAGACAAAAGCTTAAAGTTGAAAAGTACAATAATTGAAATGAAAAATTAACTACAGAAATTTAATGGTAAGATCTGAGAAGACAGATCTGAGAAGAAGCAGAAACACCTATGGAACTGAATGGAGAGCTCAGAAATAGCATACATGGCTAAGTGATTTTATACAAAATATCAAGACTATCCATGGTGGAAACAACTGTCTTTTAACAAATGATGCTAGTAAAACTGTATATCCAACCAGGGGTCCAAGACTTTAATCATAATGGACATGTAGGGACACAAACACTATCCAACTCATAGCAAACACTTACAGTAATTCACTTAAAATTAGCAATAGAATTATATGATTCAGAAGTTCCACTTTTAGGTATTACCTGAAAGAATTTAAAGCAGAGCCTTGAAGAAATAGTTGTTTCTTCATTTTTTATGGCAGCACTATAAGAAAATAGTTGTAATAAAGAATCAAACCATGTCCATCAATACATGAATGATAAGCATCATGTGGACCATATATAAAATAGAGCATTATTCAGCCTTAAAACATGGATAAATTTTGAGGACATTTTTGAGAGAAGTAGACCAGTCACCACAAGACAAATATTGGAGTTCCATTTATATGATGTTTATAGTCAAAATCATAGAGACACTGGAATCCTGCCCTATTTCTAGCCATAATTTGCCCAATTCTAATATTAAATTCTCTAGAGTTTAGCAAAAACATATAATATTGTCCATAAGTCACTGAGAAGCATTGTTCATGCTTCAAATTTTTTTAATTAGTCCATGTTTGCCTCATATCATGATTACACTCCTCATGGGGAGTTGGTCCATCTACATAACACATCTTAATTCTTTTTTTCATCCCCTTCCCTTTTCCTCCTCTCCTTATGCCTCTTCCATCTCTTGGACCCCTTTCCCTTTGCAAAAAAGGTCTTTCTCCCTATTTCCTCCTGAATTTAATATTTATTTTTGCGAGTAAAAATATCTACTAAGACTTTAATACCTCTATTATAGTTTGATAGCAATGTGCCTTATGGCTTTCATTTTCAAGGGAAATAGAATAAAAACTTTTTAAACAAAATCGTCTCTCTGTGCCTCACTTATTTCACTTAACACTGTGATCTCTCCAGGTTCATCTATGTTGCTGCAAAGGACAG